ATGACAGTCCCGCTGCGCCGCCAGAGATCGCGTTTGGGAGATCCTCTAGGATTGACCAATAAATCGCAATTGACTAGTTGGTGACCACTAATTGTAGCAGATAATCTGACCTAGATTGTCAAATAAATGCGTAAAGCAACAGAAATGGCAGCCATATAAAGTTAATATTTACCAACATTTACTGTGTCAGCATCTGAACTACAAAAGATATTACCTTTTCTGAGCATATGGAAATACTTTGCTATGTCACATTCCATACTGCACTAACTGTCTTTTTAATAGTGACAACTGTGTTTCTGTATTTACCTAGTAGTACTAAGTTACTCACAATTAGAGCTGTGCAAATAGTGGATTTTTCAGTTCATTGGCAATTCCAGAAAAATCAAAAAATTGTTTCAGGTCAAACCCAGTAACAAGTTTTTCAAAATGTTCAGACAACTGGCAAGTTGAAAAATTGTTTTGGATCAAACAAAACATTTTTTTTTGGACCCAAAATGTGTTTTCTATTTTGAGCATGTTTAACACTTAATTAAAAAAAAATAAAGAAATTTCTAAATAAAGTGTCATTTTGAAGTAATAAATATAAATATTTTATTTCCAAATGAAATATGACTTTTTTGTTTTTTCCACACAAACAATTCAGCAAAACCAACCTTTAATTCAAGAAACATTTTGGTGTTGCCAAATCTGCATTTTGCCAATAAAGTTTGGGCTTCAAAATTTCACCCAGCTCTACTCATATTGTTAATTCATGTTGTAGTTGTAATTCATGTTCATTTGTTATTGATGGCTTAGATTTCAGCCACTTTGAGGATTATAGTTATCTGAAGTCTACTAAAGGGTGAGTCACGATGACATGCAACTCTAAAACATTAATAGCCCATGGATGAGGGGTAGCTGCAACGGGGAAAAAAATCTATGTTTCTATTGTATCTGCTGAGGGACAGAAAATGTTTACCTATCTTTTGGGTTCTGTTTTTACTAATATGGATGTATGTTTGAAGTAAAACTGTTGCAACTATTTATTATGAAACTTTACTTGTTGTGACTAAGAAGAGCTCTGCAGGTTATAATAAGGAGGAAGTGAATAATGCTTTGTTGGAAGACTGAAACTCAAGACTGATGCAAACCTTTTTTTGTTGCAGTCCATCTATATGATATCTGTTGGATTCCTGGCATACTCTAATTTTATTGTATTTTTACTGAAAGAGGCTAATAGGTTTGTTTGGTGTGGACTACTTTCCATAAACTTACGTTGCTTATTGTTTATGCTATTACTATAGATTTGGTATTTGCAGACTTTTCCCTTAATATTTATTCCATTATTTTAGTGAGCATGATGTTAAACAAGATGATAGTCACAAAGACCAAGTTCCTCCTTTTAAAAACGGTTACATTAATTCATTAGTGCTTGTCCAATCCTTTGGTATCATCTGTCAGCTATCTGTCTTTTAGATACTTACATGGTCTCCATTACCGTAGTATCTGAGCACCTCACAATTTTTAATGTATTTATCCTCAGAACACTCCTGTGAGGTAGGAAAGTACAGTATTATTATCCTATTTTAGGGATGGGAAACTGAGAAACGGAGGCTAAGTGACTTGCCCAAGGTCATACAAGATGTTTGTGGCAAAGCAGGGACTTGAACACTGGTTTTTCACATTCTAAGCTAGTGTCCTAATCACTGGACCATCCTTCCCATCCTCTTTTTACATAAGGCCTGAACAAAATCTAAAAATAGATAATCCATTTCTATTTCTCCTAACTTCCACTACAAACTAAACACACAGTGACACCAGTTTTATCTTCTGTTGTAGCACATTAGAATATATTGTGGTATCTGATATCACGATGAGCTAAGCGTGAATAAATGTAGACATACTAATAGTGACTGTTGTATGCAACTAAAACCAAAAAACAAACCTGCATAATTTCAAACCCAGTCCTTCCAACTTTGTGTCAATTGTTTGAACTGTATCTGTGTGATTTTTACAATGAAGGCTCTTTGAGGCAGGTACTGGCTTATTCTAGGTTTGTACAGTCAAAGCACTCTTTTGTCTCATAGTAACAATAATACCTGGAAAGCTACGGTTTCAAGATAAGAAATGTAGTATAAACAATAAAATGTGGAGTAGAATTTTCAGAAACATTTGTAGATTTAAAATAATCTACAAGTTCAGACTATTAGCAGAAAATCTTGTTTTGAATTTACTGGACTTCTACTAGGATACACAAACTTAATATGTTCAGTAATGTAAATACTGAAATCATGGGTAATTAAGGCAATCCAATGCATATTTATTTACTATTATTTTATTAAATATTTTACATTTCTAAAGCACCCATCTCAATAGTGTCTAGGCACTGTATAGTATATATTGGGGCAGGAGGGAGGGAAAAGTTAGGATGACGTTAAGGTTCAGAGCATGTATCAGTAACTAAGGGTAAAAAATATTTCAAGGATATGTAATAAATCCAGGAAATTCAGAGTTGATGTTACACTTAGAAGAAATCCAAGCCAGTTAAGGTAAGAAATAGACAGTCAAGGCACTGGAACCACTTTAACTCTTCACAGTAGTGATGTTATGCAATAACCCTATGATGATCATTATGACATTTTAGTATTTGTGGTCCTAATTTAATATGTCTTTAAAAATCAGTTTCATCTAGATTTTTCCACATTATTCCCCCTCACGCCATCAACACAGGGAAGAGTTAAGGTTGGTGACATAACTGTTTTTTTTATGCACCATTTCTGAATTTCTTTTAAGCATAATTTTAAATTTCTTGGGCTTATAATAAACTCAAGGTTTGACCACCATGCCAGCCAGATTTCCCTGCAGTTGTGCTTCCATAAGAGAACAGGCACTGGAGCCACAGCTAACAACCTAATTTCACAGTATGAGTTCCTAGAAGGGAATACTAGTAGTACGAAATAACAAGTCAAACTGACCTTTTAAATTTGATTCCTGGAAGAGTTCGCATGTGTGGTGAGTGGGATGGGACTGGACAATATAATTGAAAAAGGAAATAAAAGGCAGGAAACTCAACTCTTTTGTTCTTGGAGCGACTGGCTTCTGGATGTCCAACTCATTTTTGCTCTTTGACTCACGGCTGCAGCTAGCTCTTTCTTTTTCCCTGAATGTGAATGGTACCTGGGAGGCAACATACAATTTTGTTGTTCTTACTGGGACTACAGAGGTCTGAATTGCTCTTCCTCATTCATTATGAATTATTTAACAACATAATTCGGCTTTTCTTCTTTGTGATGTGGTCTTTCCATGATTTAGCTCACAATCATAGTGTGGGCTACTCCATCGTCTTAACTATTTTGTCCAATATTTTAGTTTATAAGGTGCAGTAAATGTTGCTGCTATTTACAGAAAATAAACTGGACAAATTATGTTAATTTCTATCACTGACATGTTCCTCCCCTCTTATGTGATATTATCCTCTCCTTCCATCTCCTCCCTGATTATTTCTTCTCTCACTCTAGATTATTTACCCAATGCACTGAATCGTTGCCATTAGCTTGGCCCGCCATTAGAATGCAATAATAGTGATCTTTTGGACTATGGTCACTCAAGAATTAAACACCTGCAATTTAGTGTTACCTGATACCTATGATTTCAGAAAATGGAAACAATTTAAAAACTGATACAAAGGAAAGGAAAACAGTAATAACAATGAACCACATCCCAATCTCATAGATGTAAATCCATTGCCTTCAATGGTGGTGTTTTGGATCTTCACTATGTAAGATCAGAATTGGACACCCTCCCCTCCCACCAGCAAAAACAACCTCCCACCAAAACATTAATTTGAAAAACAGCTACACAAACAGTGACAGCAGTAACAGCCCATGGTTCAGTTCTCCATTTGGTCTTTATAGCTTTCAGCGAACACTTAAAAATGCTTTTTACTGACACTTCCGCCCCCCGCCGCCGCCAATGCTATCAATTGACCATTATCTATGAAGCTTTCCAATGGTTCCAGCTTAGGTCCCAGTCCTGCTCCTACTGATTTAAATGGGAGTTTGGCCTTTATTTTGATAAGGTTCAGACCTGATCCAATGCCTCTTGAAATTAATGGAAAATGCCCTCTTGATCGATGGGAGTTGGATTGAGCCCTAAACCGTTTTTAACGGATGGTGCACTTAAGGAGAAATGGCAAACACTACTGCCCTTACAGTCTGATATTTCCAACATTTTTCACATTTTTTTCCTCTGCCATGTCAATAATTCATATAAAGCATAATAGGGTGGGGAAGTTAAATCATTGTGATTTTGAACACTTTCCAAGCAGGACATTAAAACTGTATTGCTACGATAAAGATCTCTGTATGAGGAGGCACATTCCCAAAGTTCTCTTCATTCAGTGTGTTCTTTAAATAATGTAACAGGCTGGATTCATGAAATTTGGGCCCCTTTAAAAATCGACCCAAAACGGCTGCAGATCTAGAAATTCTTTTGACTTCTTTTCTCTGAAGGCCACAGCTAATGAACGTTGTCGCAGTTAAGGGGCTCTTCCCCAAGGGAGAGACACATTCATCCAGGTATTCTCCCTCCCCCTTTCCACCCTGCAGCAGACTGCCACTGCCACAACCGTTTGAATCTGGTCTACACACTCCTATGGCCCCCTGTTGGTTCCCTGCGTGCCACAAGCTACCCCTTAAGCTGAATGGGAGTCCTGGGGTGTGATGGAAAGCAGGACCCGTTGCAAAACGGGGGCAGCATCCCTTTGGCCGGGGGCGGCCAGGCTGCAGAGCAGTTGGGTTGATGAAGGTGATTCTAAAAGGAACTCGCCTTTGTTTTAAAAGGAGGCCAGCGTGCCCCACCCCGGCCTCACCCTCGCCCCTTGCCCCCGGCAGGGAAGGAGAGCGGGGCGCCCGGCTTGGGGGCGCATGGCCCTCGGAAGGGCGCCGTCTCCTCAGCTCGACAGGAGGAAGCAGGGCCCGTGTCCAGGGCGGGGGGGGGGAGGGGGGAGAGTTTCACTTCTGCAGCGAGAGCAGGAGCCGAAGTTCCCCCAGAGGAAGGAGCGGGACCCGCGCGTGGGGGCGGGCGGGGGCTGCAGCGGCAGGTCGGCGCTTCCGGACCTGGCGGCAGCAGCTGTAGGCTCCGCGGTGGCGGTGGCTAGGGAGGGGGCGTCTCTGCTGCTCGGGCCGGAGCGACCCTGCCGGCTGCGCTCGCCCCCGGGCTCCACCTGCCCCGCGGAGAGGGAGGCAACGGGCCGCGCCCAGCAGGGGGACGATGACGAGACCCTCAGGTGGGTCGGGGCTGCTGCCGGGATGGGGTGGCCGGGCCGGCGTGGGAGCAGAGCGCTCCGGGTGGGGAGCGAGCTGCAAAACAACCTGGGCTCTTCCTCCTCTCCCCCCCCCCACGCTTGGCTTCCCGGGGGGAGGGGTGTCCTTCCCTGCCCCCACACCAGCTTGAGAGAGGAGGGGGAGGGAGGGAACAAAGGTGCTGGAAGTGGGGGTGCTGCTCCAGCTCTTCTTTGAGTCCCCCAGCCCAGGCTGTATCCCACCTGACTATGCCCTTTGGGCCTGGTGAACACCGAAGGGGAGACAGGGACCCACTTCTCTTCATACCCTGCCCCACGCCACATGCTAGTCACTAAAGTTATACCATTATGAACCCCGAGTCCTGCTAATGAAAAATAGAGTATGACCCAACCCATCAAATATTGCCGGGCTGGGGGTGATGCTAGAAGAAGAGTGAAAATGTGCATCGCTGGGGATCTCTTACTTCGCTTCCTGAAGCAAAGGATGGGTAGAGGAAAGCCTACATTTTTATTTGGCAAAGTGTCTAATGTAGGAGTGAAAATGTCAGACAACTTTTTTTTTTTTAAACGGGATTTGTAGTAGAAGACTCTTGGAAGCGAGTTCTTGCATAGAGGAGTAGCTTAGCTGTAGGGACCATTGCTTATTTACAAAAGAGTAAGTTGTTTCCTTAAACAAAATGAATGTAACTAGTATATGCCTTGTTAAACAGTGAACAATAGTGTGATTATAATCTAGGATTTCTTTAGTGAAATATAATTGTAGACTTATGGCTTGGAAATATACAGCCCCTCCAGTTTGGGCTCCTAACATCATATCTAGCTAAGTACAACCACTTTTAGGCAAAGCGGGTGAGATAATATCTTTTTTTGGTCCAACTTCTGCTAGTAAAAGAGACAAGCTTTCGAGCTACACAGAGCTTTTCTTCAGGTTGTACTGAAATGAAAAACAAGGTCTAATGCCCGCAAAAACTGGATAGGGTTGCCAGGCGTCCAGTTTTCGACCTGAATGCCCCATCAAAAAGGGACCTTGGTGGCTCCGGTCAGCACCGCCGACCAGGCTGTTAAAAGTCTGGTCGATGATGCTGAGGGTCTAAGGCAGGCTGGTCCCTACCTATCCTGGCACCGTGCTGCACCCTGGAATCAGCCAGCAGCAGGTTCGGCTCCTAGGTAGGGGGTCCACAGGGCTCTGTGCGCTGTCCCGCCCCAAGCACCGGCTCTGCACTCCTACTGGTCGGGAACTGTGGCCAGTGGGAGCTGGGGGGGCGTGGTGCCTGTGGGCGAGAGCAGCACGTGGAGCCTCCTGCCCCCTCCCCTCACCCCCCCTCATCCCCCACCCAGCTAGAAGCTGGGCCTGCAGGCCGCTTCCAGGACACAGTGCGGAGCTAGGAGAGGCAGGGAGCCTGAGCCCCCACCCCTGCCCTAGTCCTGAGCCCCGCAAACCCGGAGCCCCCTCCTGCACCCAAACCCCTCATCCCCAGCCCAGAGCCCATACCCCTGCTCACATCCCAACCCCCTGCCTCAACCTGCAGCCCTCTCCCACATTCCAAATCCCTCGGCCCCACCCTCTAGCCCAGATCCCCATCCTGCATCCCAAACCCCTCATCCCCACCCCAGAGCCTGCACCCCGAGCTGGTAGGGGAGAGCAAGTCACTGAGGGAGGGGGAATGTTGAGAGCGGGGGGCAGGGCCTCAGGGAAGGTGTGGGGCAGGACCTTGGGGAAGCGGTGGGGCTAGGGTGTTCGGTAGATTTCACCTTGTATTTCACTTGATTCCCATCAATATTTTATATATTTTGTTTTGGACATTTTAATTTGTTAGTGCCATTTCTCTGAGTGTTTTATATGACAAACTACATTTTACTGATCACTTTACTGAAGAGGAATACCATTATTATTCATAAGTGTTTAGCACCACAAGCCACACCTATAGTTTTATATAACTGCTCCCCCCAAAATATCCATCAGTCATATGACGGTTCAACTTTAAACCTATGTATCATTAGATACCAAAAAATACATTAAAAAAGTTATTGAAGGTTGCAAAGTCAAGCGCTTGAAAGTTAGGAAAGGCTAGAATTAAGGTAGAATGGGCAATTTAAATTCAGGTCCCTTGGAATGTGGATTGTCACATACCTTTTTAATTAGATGATCACATACTATTTTTTCCATCTCATTCAATACACAGGATGGACTGTGTTCGGTGATCAAGGCAGCTAATTCAGTATTTCTTTTTAGCTTCATAATTCAATTTGTGATCTTCAACCTTATTTTCTGCACACCATCCAAACCCTGCACTGAAGACAGAATTATTAATTTTTTCATAGTCTTTTTTATGGGGTACATCGCCATGGCATTCAAGTGCCTTACAAAAAATAATGTATTTTTCTCCCAAACTCCCTTGGTATAAGAGTATTATTTCCATTTTACAGAAGGGGAAACTGACACAAAGAACATAGTAAATCAGGGTCAGATCCAGGATTAGAATTTAGGACCCCTGGACTCCCAACCTTGACCACACTGCTTTACTGAGGAAGGTACTGAGTATTTACAGCTCCCACTGACTTCAGATGGAGTTGAGTGTTCAGCTGCACTTTTGAAAATGAGGCCCCAGGTGTTTTAAATTGAGCACCCAGAAAATGAGAAACACACAGTTAGTGACCACCTGCCATAAAATGGGTTTAAGTGACTTGCTTGATATCACATAGTAAGTGTGTGGCAAAGGCAGGGATCTATTTTCACAACTCTAGGAGACAGAAAAGTATTTTTACCCTCATCTTACCTATGAGAAAATAGATATGAAGGCCAGAATTTGTAAAAGTGTCACTATTTTCGGTGCCAACATGATTGGGCGCTCACTCTGCATGAGACACCCAGGACTTTTTATTTTCTTTTTTCCCCAGTGCTTTTAGGATTTTATAGCACTTTTTATGTTCAATACCCTAAGTGATACAACCCCCTTATGAGGTACAACAGAACCTCAAAGATATGAGCATCAGAGTTACGGCCTTACTGATCAACCAGACACCATGTGGAACTGGAAGTAAGTGGACACCAAAAATGGGGGGGGGGGGGAAAGGCAGCAAACACTGTACTGCAGTGGTCATCAACCGGTCGATTGTGATCGACTGGTCGATCCTAGTGGATCTTCCAGTCAAGTGTGATCTCGGACAAACTTCTTTATGCAAATTCCACTAAACATACTGTACCTACTGTAGATAAAGCATTCATGAATGGGCCGGGGTGAAAGTGAGCTGGTATGGCGTACCGGTAAGAACCCGTACCGGCCCATATGCAGCCCACATTAAAGCGCTTGCGCTGCAGCGCTTTAATGTCCCTGCCCCTTTTGCCTCCCCCATCGGTGGCTCTGCTGGAAGGGTCCATACCGGCAGGGCCGCCGCCAAGGGAAGCAAAAGGGGCAGGGATGTTAAAGCACTGACGTTAAAGCGCTTTAAGGATGATCCTTTGCCGAGGCAGTGCTTTTAACGTTGCTGTGTCTCCCCATCGGCGGCCCTACCACCAGGACCACCGATGGTGGGGCGGGGCGCAGCAACGATAAAGCACTGCCACGGCAAAGGACCCTACAATGCTTTAATATCCATACCCCTTTTGCTCCCCCTCAGCCACCGATGGGCGGGGGGTAAAGGGAGCAGCTGCCCCAGGGCCGGCAATTTAAAAGGGCCTGGAGCTCTTTGGAGCCCCGCACTCTTTAAATTGCCACTGGAGCCCTGGATGGCGCGGGCCAGGCAGCCTGGAAGGGCTGGCTGGGGGATGCTGACTGTGCCCCCCGCCCTGCTCCACCCCTTCTGCCCAAGGGCCCACCCCTTCTGGGGGCCAGAGCCAGCTCCGGCCCAGTAAGTGTTTGGAGTTACTTTCACCCCTGTGAATGGCAGATCTTTTATGACATCTGGCTTCACTTATGGGATAATCCACTAATGGTGATGCCATACTTGAGTTATAATTCTTCTCCACATTCATGAAAATAAATGTCATAGCAGAGGTTAGCCATCATGTATTCTTTATTTATATAAAGTGCACTTCTTGTCTCCCACTTGACAGAAATAAGTGATTAGAATTGATTGTGTTTGAATTGAATGTGTTAATCCTACAGGGGAATCTGGCCAATGACTAGGCTTGGAAACATTTGATTTTTATATTTCATGAATCAGAAAACAGCAATATATCCAGTATTTTTAATTTTTTAAATTAATTTAGAATGTTTGCATTAATAGGAAATAAATAATCCTCAGCGCTTGACTTAATTCAAAATATAATATGTAAAGAGTGAGCTTTAGAGAAGATTTAGAAATATTACAGTATTTGATGATCATATTTAATATATTCTCAATATTTCTTTGAGTATAAAGAAATACTAAATTTTTTTACAAGAGCCTGTGGTGTGCATTCACACATGCATGCAATTGTATTAGACAAAAAGGGTATTTTGGGTATTAAAAATGCCCTTTCTATACATTTGCTTATTAATGATGAAAACATTGTGATAGTAATACTAGATTTTTCCTTTCATCCAAAAAAACTGAGATTTAAAGATTGAAATCTAATTATTCCAAACCTAATACTTAAAGGTCGAGGTTAACCATTTCATCTCCATCCAAGATGCTATCCAGCTGCCAGCGTCTTCAAACCACCCCTACTGACTGGAAACTTAACTTCCCTTTTTAAAAAAAACATTCAGCATGGTCGTGGAAAGGAAAACATGTTCCATTAAACATTAAAACAACATCCCGATGACCTAAAATATAAAGGACCAAGTTTTTTTTCCTGCACAAAACTGGCATTAGAGGCTGGCATCATGGGTCATTCGCAGGCAAGTATTAACAGCTTGATAGGAATGAAAGACAATAGGTAGGGTGGGGATTGACTATGAAGGGCCTTGAAAATAAATACAAGCAGCATATGTTTGATGCAATAAAGAAGAGGGAGTCAGTGGAGGGGTGACATGGTCAAGGCTATGGACTAGGAAAATTAT